ACCCTTCTCAGGACTGTTTAAGAAAAAAAACCACAAATGGCTATTCAGAATGTCCCCAATTTTTTATAGTGTGGGGCAGTCTGAATGTGATTTTGATCAGCTCATTCTATTTTGGCAGTTCTATAGTTATTGTAAGTATAACTGTAGTTCTTGGTTCTGTCTGGTATTTCATGTGCCCGTGGAGAGAAAACATAGCCTGTAGATAAGCATGCAAGCTGTGGAGAGAGGCTGCCTGAATAGAATCCAGGGTCTCCCACTTCCTAGCTGTGTGTCCTTAGGCAAGGATGCTTCAGTTTTCTCATTTGCAAAATGGACGTAATGGTAGTATCTATATCTTTCTTGGGAGACTTAAGTGAAATAATCCATGTAAAATGTTTAGTGCAGCACCTGCCACAGAGTAAATACTCAAATATTAGTAATTAAATATAGTAATAATAAAGTGGAGATGACATGTAACTTACCTGAGAACGCATTGTAACCAAGTGATGGAGCTCTCTAATTGTCATATTTAGTGGTTGACATATAAGTCACCATAGGCCCTTAACCGAACCTTTTTATTTTAGAGGGAGAAAAGGTAGTGTAGAGTAGAGATTCATTCATTCATTCAACAAATGCTGATATTACAGAAGTGAGCAAAATAGTCAGGTCCCTGCTCTGCCAGAGTGGAACGGTCCGAGTGGGAGAGAGACGGTCAATACATAAACACAAAAGAGAACACTGGGTGACAAATGAGCTGCTAGGTAGCTCTGATGAAGTTAAACCGGAGCTCTCTGAGAACAACAGCTTCAGGGCTACTATGAATTTGTTGGAGAAGTATCTTTGTGGAGGAGACGGTTAGGCTAGGACTGAAGAAACTTACTAATTTTTTGAAAATCACAGAATCGGGCCAGGCGAGGTGGCTCACGCCTGTAATCCTAGCACTCTGGGAGGCCGAGGCGGGAGGATGGTTTGCGCCCAGGAGTTCGAGACCAGCCTGAGCAAGAGCGAGACCCCGTCTCTACTAAAAGAATGGAAAGAAATTAGCCGGGCAACTAAGAAATAGAAAAAATTAGCCGGGCATGGGGGCACATGCCTGTAGTCCCAGCTACTCGGGAGGCTGAGGCAGGAGGATTGCTTGAGCCCAGGAGTTTGAGGTTGCTGTGAGCTGGGCTGACGCCACCACGCTCTAGCCAGGGCCACAAAGTGAGACTCTGTCTCAAAAAAAAAAAAAAGAAAATCACAGAATCATGTTTTAAGGTTTAAGGGAGGTCAAGAGATGATAAATCAGTCATTTGTTACAAGCTTGCTAAAGTTTTTGGTAATTTCCAGCTAGGAAAGATGATGATCTCTAGTTAATATGTACTGGGGACTGCCAACAAGCTTGGTAGCATATGGCAGAGGAGAAAAAAAATCAAAAGTACTAATGCATAAAATTTTGAGTTACTCATTTTTGCAGCTCTGAGGTGATGGCGTTAGGAAATGTAGGAGAATTGGTAAAAGTTATAGTATGTCCTGATCTGGTCAGGTTTCAGCAAGTAAGGCTTTAGGTATGCAAATATTTGAGGCTTTTCTTTTGAACATTAATTTTGATTTTTCAGAGCTATAATTGTAGAAGAAAGGTAGAACACATTAGGTAGAATGTGTGCTCCTAAGACAATTTGTAAAATAGTGCTTAAACATCTGTTTATTTACTTATTATAGTAAACATGGGATATACAAAAAGCTGGAAAGATTTTTTTAAAAAATGACCCATAGTTCTACCATCCTTAATTAACTATTTACATTTTGGCAATTTTTTATTATCTTTTTCTATATCTTTTAAAAATAGTTAACACACATATTTGTGTGTGTGTGTGTGTATGTATATAATTTGAGATTAAAATAATGACATAGGCTTTTTCTTATATTACCACAACTTCATAGTGAACATTGTTTTCATTTTCTGCATAATATTCCATGGATTTTTTTTCCTTTTTTTTTTTTTTAACCAATTTTCTATATAAACATTTTTGTCTTCCTTGACTGTTTCTCCCCAAAATAGAATATAGGGCCAGGGCTTAGGGAACTACTTAGAGGAAGTTCTGGCCAATCATAGTTCTTCTGTGATATCTCAACTTTGTAAGACAAAACTGCTTTGCAGTCTTAGGACAATTTTTGCTAAAACATGTCTAAGAATGTGCCATTTTGGTTTTTGTGGGGGAAGGTTGAATTTGAAGATTTTTGAAGAAAAATCATTGAGGTTTCATTTCATGATACAATTACAAATTCAGACACATGTTAAGAACCAAAACTAAAATTTTAAGATCCCTTTCAAAAGAAACTTAGGAAAATTTTAACAATATTTTTTTTGTATTATCTTAATTCTAATGTATTTGTAACATTAATTTTGATATTTCTAATAAATTTGTCAAGGATAATATAATGTTTAAATTAGAAATATGTTTCTTTTAGATGTCTAGAGCATGTAACAGAATAAAATACATAAATTATTTTTAATTAGTGAAAGGACACATAATAAATGTATTATTAAAATTTCTCATGTGGTGTCTTAGACTGTTCCTGCTGATATAACAAAAATGCCTTAGACTAGGTAATTTCTAAATGACAGAAATTTATTGCTCACAGTTCTGGAGGCTGGGAAGTTCAAGATTAAAGCACCAGCAGATCTGGTGTCTGGTGAGGGCCTGATCTCTGCTTCTAAGATGGCACCTGATGTTGTGTCCTCACGTGGCAGAAGGGGGCAAATGCATGTCCTTATGTGATGGGATAGCAGAAAGGGGCTCACAAGTTCCCTTAGGCCTCTTTTATAAGGGCACTAATCCCATTCACTTCCCAAAGGCCCAACCTGTTAGTACCACCACAGTGGGGATTTGGTTTCAACATGAATTTTGGAGGAACACAAATATTCAGACCATAGCAAGTGGTTCTTGGATTGTTTGTCTTGAGTTTCTACATACTTTCAACATGGTCGAAAGCTGTATTTTATCTTTGGATATTTAAATTAAATTTTACTAGATTAGTACATTCCATTTAAAGCTCATCTGCTGCTTGTGGGATTAAAAATACAATCTCTCTCAAGCACGGTTTGACAAGAAAATGTTTCAGAAACCTTTTAAATAAATGTATATCCTTAACCTCAATTTTAAATCTATGGATTATTTCTAAAAAAAATAATTGGCCAAGTATGTAAAGATTAATGCACAAGAATGTAGCCTTGTTTATAAAAGTGAAATGCTGGAAACAATGTCCAACATTTAGGATTAGTTAAGTGTGGTATATTCATATAATGGAATATTGTGAAGTTATTAAAATTACCATACTGTCTATATTTTTAATTTGGGAAAATAATTATAGTATAGATAAATGATATAGTGGCCTGGTTGTATGAAGTTATTTGATATTTACAGTTAAATATTAGTGAATGTCTTCCAAGGAGAGTAATTTTTGTTTTGTCATTAGTAAAATTGAGTCTTCCTTGCTTGTAATTGAAAGGCACAGGAACCATTTTTCTCTTGAGACTATTCCCAGTTTGTTTATTTTAAGCATATAAAATGACATTTACCTCCCATTTGCTATGGCAGAGAGACAATATCTAATTCATTTAGAAGTACCATTATACCATTAAAATATAAATTAAAAAGAAGATTGAGGTACATTTCTATTTTGTACTACTTAAAATTGTTATCTGGTTTGCTCATCCTGATTCTGGACATAGGATTAGATTTCAGAATTTGCGGGAACTTTAAAATCTTTTAAATAGCTTTTGCTATTAGAACCACTTCATTCCCACCAGTGGACTGCTCAGCTTCCGGGCCTACTGGATCTCTGGTTCTCCAGGGAATAAGTTGTAGCCTCATTCTTTGTGAGAGAGCCTGCAATCATTCTACCGAGAAGACCTGGCCTAGACCCCACCTTCTTTGATAGGACCCTTCATGGCACCAGACCACTGTGAGGCAGAACACTTGGTATCCCCCCAAACACAGACAGATGGGAATCTTTGGAGTCCCCACCCAGCCCTTCCTTGGCCAGAACCCTCACTTTTGGGGTACAAGAGATCTTTTATTGAGAGGGTCAGTGTCTTCCCTGTCTGCCTGATACCCCAGTTTGGGATCTACTTTCAGACATGTGTCCCGAGGACTTGCCCTTGATTGGTAGTTATGTTCCAACATCCACATTGGGTGTTATCTGCCCAAACTCCAAATCTCAGCGTTGCCCATGGAGGCCTGATCCTCCACCATCTGCCATGTCGAAGAGTGCTGGAAAATCCAATAAACAAGTTCCCATTGGTACAGTTTGGATTAGGAGACTAAGGAACAAGTGAACAAAAAGGTAAGGAAGGAGTATTAAGACCAAAATCTCCATCCCTACACCACATGCTTAATAAGTGAATATTGTAATTGTAGCTTGAAACCGAAAGATGGCAAAAGGAGGATCAGAAGTGGAATCAGAAGTGGTGGAAAATTGATCTCTTGGGGAAGCCATTTGGTTCTATGAAGAGTAATTCGACCCCCATTCTTGGCAAGAATGTGCCTGGAATTACCAACCTGCCCTTGATTAATTGGACGCAACCCACAAATAAGAAATGAATTGGAAACCAGAAGAAAGCATTAACAAACATACTGTGTGGTAATTATTACCAATGCAGAGTGGATTTGCAGGGCTCAGCACATTTGGGCTGTTGATGGCTCCATGATCATTCGTTCATCCAGTCAGCCATTCAGCAATCACCTGTCACGAGGCAGACAGGGCAGCTGGATCCTGGGGTTATCATGGTGAACAAAATAGACACAGACCCTCTTTCACTGAGCTCGCAGCCTAGCCTGGGAAATAAACAATTAAAATTGAGCTAAATGGTGTGGTAAGAAGTCAGAGGCTAGTGTCCTGGAGCACAAGGCAATTGCACTGAGACCTGAAGGATTAATAGGAGTTAGCCGGAAGAAGAGGCTTAGCGGTGGCAATTGGTGGTTTAATGACTGATGTTACAAATAGTGATATTTGTTTCTTCTCTAAATTTCTTCTAGGATGTTCAGTTCTTCTCCACAATGAATGAATGTTACTATGATAAGCAGATGGACTTTTTTTATAATAGAAGCAACGCTGACACTGCTGATGAGTGGACAGGAACGACGCTTGTGATTGTTTTGTGTGTTGGAACTTTTTTCTGCCTATTTATTTTTTTTTCTAATTCTCTAGTCATCGCAGCAGTGATCAAAAACAGAAAGTTTCACTTCCCCTTCTACTACCTGTTGGCTAACTTAGCTGCTGCAGATTTGTTTGCTGGAATTGCCTATGTATTCCTGATGTTTAACACTGGCCCAGTTTCAAAAACTTTGACTGTCAACCGCTGGTTTCTCCGCCAGGGACTTCTGGACACTAGCTTGACTGCTTCCCTGACCAATTTGCTTGTTATTGCCGTGGAGAGGCACATGTCAATCATGAGGATGCGAGTCCACAGCAACCTGACCAAAAAGAGGGTGACACTGCTCATTTTGCTTATCTGGGCCATTGCCATCTTTATGGGGGCAGTCCCCACGCTGGGCTGGAATTGCCTCTGCAACATCTCTGCCTGCTCTTCCCTGGCCCCCATTTACAGCAGGAGTTACCTCATTTTCTGGACTGTGTCCAACCTTGTGGCTTTCTTCATCATGGTTGTGGTATACCTGCGGATCTACATGTATGTCAAGAGGAAAACCAATGTCTTGTCTCCACATACAAGTGGTTCCATCAGCCGCCGGAGGGCACCCATGAAGCTAATGAAGACGGTGATGACTGTCTTAGGTAAGAGGAACCAAGTGAGCCGTTAGTCCCATTCATTCAGCAAATCTCTACTGAGCACCTACTGTGTACCAGGCACTTACTAGGCAGTAGGAATGCAGCAGTGAACAAGAACGGACATAAATCTCCACGCATCTGGAGCTTAGATTCTGATGGAGGAAGAAAAAATTAAGTATTTTGATGGGGGTAAACAAAATAAGTAAAATTTATAATACATGAGTTTTATATGTGAAAGAATCAGGGAAGGGAAAACAAGTGCTAAGCAGACATAGTTTGCAATTTTAAAAAGCATTGTGAGGGACACCCAGAAGGTGACTTCAGAGCAGAGAAGTGAACGTGGTGGGAGAGTGAACCGTGTGGGTGTCTGGAGAAGGGTGCTCTGGTGGAAGATGCAGTGAGCACGAGCCCTGGCCAGCAAGGCGGCCAGTGTGGCTGAGTGGAGATGAGGCCAGAGAGCCGATGGGGTGGGAGTCGGCCACGTACTGACAAGGACTTTGGCTTTTCTAAGTAAGATGAGAAGATATGGGAAGGTTTTGAACAAGGGATTGATGTGATTGGACTTACATCTTAATGGTGTCTCTCTGGCTACTCTTTGCTGTAGTGAAGCAATGGCAAAAGCAGGAAAATTGTTTAAGGGGCATTTCAGTACTTGGGAGGGATAATAGCAGCCAGAGGGCAGTTGGTGGTGATGGTCAGATTCTGGATATTTTTTAAAGGATTTGTTGATGGGTATCATATAGGGGCAGGGGGGAGGAGGAGGCGAGGTGGGGAATGTCCTTAACTGAGGTGGGGAAGACGAATGAGGAGAAGATTTTGGGGGAAGTTCAGGGTTTGGTTTTGGACAAGCTGCATTTAGGATCCTATTAGATATCCAGGTGGAGTGCTGATCCTATTGAGTAGGCTGGTGGATGTTTGAATTAGGAATTCAGGATTTAGGTCTGGACTGGAGATATGCATTTGAGAGTCACTGGGGGGAAGAAATGGTATTTTAAACCACAGGATGCTGTGAGCTCCCTGTGAAAGCAGACGTGAATGTAAATGACAGGAGAACCAAGGAATGAGCCCCAGGGTGCTCTGGTGTAAGGAGGTGGGGAAGGCAAGGGGCAGCCAGCAAAGGAGCCCCAGAAGGAGGAGCCAGAAAAGCTAGGAGGCTGTGGGGTCCCAGAAGTCAAGAGGAGAGAGCAGTCAGGGAGAGGGGGTGTTAGTGTTAATACTGCTGACGGGTGGAGTGAGACCAGGTCCTACTGGGTTTACCAAAGTGGTGGCTTTTTACTGAGCCTTGAGAAGATCAAATCTGGTGTAGCGGAGAGCCTGATGGGAGTAAAATTTAGAAAGGGAGGGAGGAGAGGCTTTAAGAGAGTTTGGACAGGTCTGAGGAGTTTGCTTCACACCGTGAGCCCTGTACCAAGAAGACACATGTGGTACGGTAGATTTTTCCCTTTGTTTTATTTTCTCTGTGGTAGGGGACCTGTTGCCCCCCAATTCCAGTTCTGGGTTACAGGTAGAATTTGTGACATGCGGGCAAACAAGAACTTTTGTGCCTTCACAGCCCTTCTGAGGCAGAGAGGCCATTTCTCACCACGTATGTGGCTGCAGCAGTGGGCACCATTTCTGAGAGAGGCCCAGGGATGTATTCCTGTCGAGTCCCAATGAGAAGGGCTTGTGGAGTTAATTCTTGGGAAACAATTCTTATTAGAGGATGCAGGGTACGTGTGGTGTGGTGTAGAACCATCACCTTGTCTCTAGGTCTTGAAACTGCTGGTAGGATTTGGAGGTCAGTAGACACATAGTATGATTATTTAAAAAATTTCAAACTGAAGGTTTATTTAACAGATATCTATGTAGTGCTTAATATATGCAAAGCATTGCCCCAAGCGTTCTCACAAATATTAACTTATTTAATCCTCACGGCAACCCTGTGAGGGAGGGACTACTATTATCCCCACTTACCAGATAAAGAAACGTAGCAGAGAGTTTAAGCAATGCACCCAAAGTCACACAGCTTTTAACCAAGACTCTGCAGCTGGCCTCCAGAGTCCCTGTGTTTAACACAACATTCTGCGACTACTTTTGATTTATTTGGACTTTTTACTGGTCTTTTATTTTTCCTGTCTTCTGTTCTGACCACCTCATTCTTCGCTTAGCAGTTTGACAAGAAAATGGACAAGAACAGAAAGGAAAGGTTCACATAAATCATTATTTCCACTCTTGAAAGGATAGAGAGGATATTGATGTTTTTGGTAAAAAGCGAGGTTTGGTGTTTATAGATAGTGACAATGGGCCATGCCACTTTCCCTGTTTAACTTGTAGGCATAATCATTTGCCTGGCTATGTGTCATAAGAAATTACCAGCTTGCTTAAAGAGAAAACTTTCTTTATTCATCATATCATTTATAGTACACATGAGCTAGAAAAGGCTTCTGTAATCCCAGGTGGAGAGAACAGGACTCTTTGTGAGATAGCCACGGTTACTAGCTTCAGTTTTGTATGTAATTTTGTCTGGAACAGTTCTGGAGGGATTTTAGGTAAAGGACCTGTGTGGTTTTGGCAGATGTGGTGTTAGGTAAAAGAGAAACCAGAATAAACAATGAAAGTTCCAAGTAGGATAAGAGAAGTGGTGGGATTGAGATTGAGGAATTGGTTAATGGAAGGAAGACAGTTTGGTGTCTAGAACGCGGGGAAGTTCCTCCGCGGTGAGACAGAGGGATCTGGTGAAGACGGGAAGGGGTGGGGGAAATGAAACTGAAAATCTAGGTGGTGTAAGTTTTCATGACTTCTTGCTCCCAATTTCTCTGGATAACAGAAGATTTGGGTTTTACCCCAACTCTTACATTTTTTACAAGAATGAGCTGAAGCACATTAGCTCACATTTTCTTGGTTCAGTGTCCTCCTCTGAGGTGGAATAGGTCATTTTTAAGTTCTTTCCAAGTTATAAAGTTTAATGATCCTATTATAACAGTAAGTAGCCAAAGGTAGAAATGAAAAAGAAGTGTGTTTGTGTGTGTGTGTGTGTGTGTGTGTGCGTGCGTGTGTGGAGAGAGAGTCCCGTAATACAGCACCAACATCTTGTGCATAGATCTGTATTACAGGGCGTTCTCCGAGGGAGAGAGAATCTTGAGAGGCAGCAGCCAGTAGAGTTCTGTGGATTCTGACTGTGCGTGAGAGCTTTCCATGAGATCACCTACTACAGGATCCAGTATATTCCTAGGGAAAAGCTCCCAGTTGCTCTGTCTAATAAATGTAAGAATTCATGTTGCCTGAAACAAGCGTCTCCCAAATGATAGTATATTAGAAAAATCAAGAGTGCTGGCATCTACTATCATTGTAGTCAGTGGTTCTGGAGATACTCACTTCTTTAATGATTACATGATTTAAATATCTTCATGATAAAATGCTAAACTTTTCTATTTACTCTTTGATACATACCCTATAAGAAAACTTCATTTAAGATTAAATCCTGAAGTTTCTTACCCTCTGCTTTTAAACATTAGAAAGTCAGTGAATAAATATATATTAATTGTCTATTAAACAGCATCTCTGAGGCAAATGGTTGCATGAATTCAGTGAGCTTAACCTCATTTCAGAGCAAGAGGAAAGGACGGACGGGGGCTGTAGAGTTTGGGGAAGGCTTCTTAGAGGTGCTGGGATGTAATCTGGAAGGATAGGTGGGATTTGTATGGGCAAGAGGAAAAGACATTCTAAGGAAGAGAAACAACACACTCAGAAGTGTGATTGCAGAAACATCTAAAGCTCGTGTAGTACCATAAAGAAGGCCCCATGGAGCACAGATACTTGTGGTGCAGTGGAAAGTAACTCAACTGTGAGCTGGGGAAGTTTAGTTGGCTACCCTCTTTGGAAGGAGAGAGGTAGACCAGATGCCCTTTGTGTTCCTTTCCGGCTTTAGGATTTTGGTTGAACACAGGAGCACATGGGGCCGGATGGGGAGCAGACTCTGTCCTTGAGGGGAGTGGTGGTAATGATGATGGTGGTGTGAGTTTTAAATGTGTACATGATTGGAAAAGCACCTAGGCCTCATGTCCCCATTTCAGCAGCCCTGAGGCAGACTGCTTGTTCACTTCTGGGTTATGATGTGTGATGGGGCCCTTTACATGAAGGAAGTTGCTTATTGATTGTTCTCATTGAAAAAACATTGGAGACATATGATCCAGCTTTCCACAGGGGACCGGGGCCCTGCCTAAGAAAATTTTGAAATCCTACTTGTCAACAAGCCTAATCAGCTACAGCAACCAAACACACAAGAAACCCCACGTGGAAACCTCTCATTTATTGTCAAACAACACACCAGGTCAACTATGCACACAGGCATTTTGTTGTTTCCCAGAAAGTGGGCTGGACTTTCTTCTATTTTGCCATGTCTTAAAATACAAAAGAAAAGAAAGGGTGAAGGGATTTGCAAACCATACTTTTGAAGTCTTCCATGAACCTTCCTTTCTTTTGGGTGATGTTTTTCAAACTGTGAATTGTGACCCACCAGTAAGATTGTAACCAACACTCTTTAAAGATGACATAAAATAAAAAAGGAGAAAATTTCAGAGTACATTGCATTTAATAAGTATTGTTTCATAACCTTTGTGTGTGTGTACTGGATTGTGATATAAAATGATAATTATCATGGGTTATGGTCAAGAATGTTTGAAAAGCCGTGATCTTAGGGTCAAGGTTTCTTTTCTGACCAGTAAGGACTGAACTCTTTTAAAATATGAAACATTATCCGTTAAGCATCTTTGAAAGGGTTATGGTAATTGAAACAAAGAGCTGGATGTTTTTCTTCTCACTTCTTCCTCCCCCCTCTCCACTTAGATTGCTGCTAAATCATCCTTTTCCTTCTCTTAGAGGAGAGAGGAAGGAGGCAGAGTGGTGCTAAGGGAAGAAACAATACCTGGAGTTTCTAGCAATACCCATGCTGAGAGGAAATGAGTGAAAATTAAGTGCCATAAAGAGCCTTGCTAGAATACTAATAATAACCATGCATAATGTTTCTG